AACAAACACACACACACACACACACACACACACACACACACACACACACACACACACACACACACAAAAGCTTATTTTGGCTTACTAGTTTAGAAGGAGAAGAGTCTATCCTGGTGCGGCATGTATGTAATTCCAGTACTTGGGAGGCAGAGGCAGGCGGATCTGTGAGTTTGAGGCCAGCCTGGTCTACATAATGAGTTCCAGGATGGCCAGGGTTATTTAGAGAGGCCCTGTCTCAAACATAAGGGTCCATCTTGGTGGGAAGACATGGCAGCAGTTGGTGGACATGGTGGCAAAGCTGGAAGCTGAGGGGGTCACACCTCAACCATAAGCATGAAGCAGAGAAAGCAAACTGGAAGTGGGAGGAGGCTTTAAACTCAGTCCCTAGAGCCACATGAGTAGCCGACCCCCCCCCCCACACCTCTAACTGCCAGGTTCCGCCCACAGAATACTCTTATTGCCCTAATTGCTGGGCCCTGCCCCCCACCCTACAGAGTAAAAAGCCCAATCTCTGGACATGAAATCCCACCAACCTCCACCCTGGAAAGTCCCACCCCATTCTTAGAACCTCTGTAAGTCCTGTATCCTGGGTTCAGTTTGCTGCTGTTTCTCGCCCAGGCAGAGGCAGCCACCCTCCTGGTTTTTTCCCTCCCAATAAATCTTTTGTGTGAGATTTGTTGTGCAGTGTGACTTTGTGGCATTCCTTGGCTCCCAGCTGCCAGGATACTTTCCACCAGAGCTGCAATGCTTACACTGACCACAGTGATATGCTTCTTCCAGCAAACCTGCCCCTCCACTTGACCTCTCTAGACAGCACCAACTGGGGACAGAGCCTATGGGGGACATTTCTTATTCAAACCATCACAAAATCTCTTGCCACTAGGACTATGCCAAAATCAAACAAAGCAAAATCACAAAAAGGTGAGCTCTAAGTATTCAGAAGCAGAGACTAAAAGACTATTTAACACAAAAGAATAGAACCCTGTATTAGCAAAAGTTAGGACTCAATAATGAAATACATGGAGAAAAAAATATTTGGATAACTGACATATGATACTTATTGAAAATTCCTAGATGAAAACACCCAATAGATTAAGACACTGAATGAATTTTTAGCAGATTAAAATTAAGTAAAAATTTTTTCTCTCATGGCTAGTTCCTTTTCAAGCTAATCTTATCACATCAAAACTTTTCTCCCAATGCATTATGATTACATTCTTGTATCCTCCTTTTCAACATAGATGGCCATTCCTATACCTGTCATTCAGCACTAAGGAGACAGAGGGAGGAGGACTGAGACTTCGAGGCCAGACTGGGATGGCTATGAGGGAGACCTTGCCTTAAAAACAATACAAAAACTTTGGAAAACAAGCAGGTCATGGGAGTATATACCTGTATATACCTATAATATCAGCACTTGAGAGGCAAAGGCAGGTCAATCTCCATGACTTCTGGGTCAGCATGATTAGTTACTTTGCTGTTGCTGTAACTACACCATGATACAACACCAAGGCCAAAAGCAACTTAGTAGAAAGAATTTAGGCAAGCTCTAGGCCAGCCAGGGCTAAGTAGTAAGACTCTTTAAAAAAAAATGAAACAGGGGTTGGGGATTTAGCTCAGTGGTAAAGTGCTTGCCTAGCAAGCACAAGGCCCTGGGTTCAATCCTCAGCTCCAAGAAAGAAAGAAAGAAAGAAAGAAAGAAACAATGTATCATAAAACAATCCAAGAAAGCCAGAATTAAATTTTATTTCACACTGATAGAAACTGAGAAATATGACATTTTCTCACATTACAGCATAAGAATTCAACGGAATATTTCTTACCACAAATAAAATTTTACTGATGGTATAAATGAAGTAAGTTTATGTTCTTCAAAGTAAAGCAAAATAGTAAATGATTGTTTGAAATTGTTTTAAACCTAGACATAAGCATATGGCTTCATTATTAACATCCTAGCTAGTCCATAGCAAATGATTTCCATATCAGTTAGCACCTGTTTATAATGATGCTTCTTAGCACGGTCGTGGTCAGTTGGAAACACCAGGAAAACAACAATTCATAAATGACCATAATTTTTTGCAACATATTCAACTGTGTTGTAAATACACTATATATATAATTAGATATATATAGGTTCTATTCAGTCTTTATTACCCATAAATTAGTTTAAATAATTTTCACCAATATTCTGGACATGTTGATTTAAAATCAAATGATTGCTATTTTAATGTTTGTACAGGAGACTAATTATCAAAAACTCCTTTACCGGTGAAGACGAAAATTTCAAATTAGTTTGTTACCAGATAAAAATAAAAGTTTCTGATTGCTCATCTTGAACAATATTTGGTTTCAATCATAACATATGTACAGAAAATGTAAACTTAAACTCTGCTATAAGATGTAACTGATTTAGAAATTAGACTGCAACACTGGTCTTAAATATTTATTTCTGAACATGCCAAGATATTATTTACTCTTTTAAGTTTTTTACAGAAAAATAAAACCACAGAATTATTATCAGTACTGAAGATGCCGATAACTCTACAGTCTAAGGTTGGACTACAGTGCAGTTATTTGAAATACATAAGCTTAAGTAATGTTTGGTTTCTTTTTACATTACCTAGATTTGGAATACTGTATGTTTGTGATTCAAAATGTCAAATTATAGTATATATATTGACAGTTTTTTTTTTAATGGCAGAGAGGCAATATTGGTCTTCTATGAAAAAAATCAAGAAAGAAAGAAACTTTTTTGTTTCTTGAGAGGGGAAAAATTAAGTAGAAGGAAAAGAACAGCCTGGTCCCCCAATAAAAGGACCATTAATTGAAGAGAGCAGTATTACTTTTCTGACACTTAAAAAGCATTATCCTAGTATCAGGGATAATGTAATACTATCTAGTCCTTATGTATTACAGTCATGTATATATGATTACACATATAAAAATAGACACTGCATGGTGACTAAACAATTGAGTAAAACCATAGTCTAACTCACAGCATTAACGAGTCACTTACAGATTATCCTAAAAGCTTGTTTAGACCTAACAAATTTTCAGTGAGCATACTAGTGATTTTCAAATGATGTAATAAAATTCTGGGTGTGGTATTTTATTTTGCTGAATTAATTTGAGAAAAAGAAGCTAGCTGCTTCTTTTCACCTACTTTAATACTAGTATATTCTGGATTGTATAATACAGATATGTATAGAAACTTAAAAGGATCACACATTTCCCATGAGGGAGACACCATTTAGTCTGTATCATTGGTATGTATTTGCAAAACATTTTAATACTGCAAACATTAGAAGTTTTACAATCAGGCATGGGAAAGGGTTTATACTCTACTACAGTGATGCTGGTGAACGTCTACACAAGGCCTCTTAGTGACGTCAATCAATTGGAGGTAGGAGTTTATCAATGAACTGCTTGACATCCATCATTTCCTATTTGGAAAAAAAAATGATTTAATAAATAGCTACATAAGTCAAAAATTACAATTACAAGAATGCTAGTAATAAAATCCATGTAGGTGAGATGTTTTACTATTATAGTAGAAGGGCGTGTAAGAAAAATGAGGCTCCCAACAGAAATTTTGTAAAATCTCTTAGGATTATTACTATACACTGAAATATATGCTCCCATACTATCTAATTCCATGAAGTCTGTATTTTCTGACACTCAAATAAAACACTGGGGAGTCAGGAAGTTCAGAATGACAATAACCTATACAGAGAAGTTTAATAATGTCTACTTACTAACAACTGAACATCAGTGAATTTCCTCATTAGAATGAAATGATACATAGCTGATCTCTTTTTGTGTGTGCCGTTCATAAAGAATGGCATACAGCTACTCGTTTGAAAGAATGTATGTATGTCAGACAGTCCTTGGGAAAAAAAGAAGGTAAATTTCTCCTGGAAGCCTCTAGGTCTGAACCCATCTCCTCCTTTCCTCAAGCTCCTGGTCCTCATTGGTCAACAATCTAGCTATGCAGTGAACTTCCAACCTTATATATGCATCACTGAGAAGAGCTACGGCATGAGAGAGATTATTTTACAACACTCTAAAGCCCTATCTCACAGTTTCCTGTAATATTCCACCCCCATCATCCTCTCATTCATGCTGATCAGCCCAAAGTTTTCAAATGCCAGCACAAGAACTCATTTATGTGTATGATTCTCAAGATGCTTAGGGTCTTCAGCCACCCCTGAGTCTTGAGGGTTTAGTGACTCCCTACTCTTCTGGATTCAACAGCTCCTTTCAGGGTGTGTGGGGTGGAGGCTCTCTAGAATCCTAGGCACGTTGGTCTTTCTGTGTACATCATATTATTTATTACCCACTTCCTTTGTGCCTAAAGCAAATGATTTAACTTTGCTTAATGGTTGTACAATAGTGTTAGCTTGGACTACACCCCAGCGACTGGCTAATCAAATTTTATTCTAGGCCATTACAAGAATCCCACACCCATCCAGGTCTTTCTCTTCTAAGTAACTATATCTCCTACTTCATCAAGAGGACAAAGAGCATGTAATATAAGTTCCCAAAAACCCTGATCCCTCTTGACTTCTTCTATTAATACTCACCCAATCTTGTTCTCCTCTTTTGAGGTAGCACAATCCAGCTATGGTCCCAGATGATCATATGATTTAAGTTATCCCCTCATCAAATATCTTTATCACCTTCTACTCATAGTCTTTCTGCCATTTCATTAAAGAAGACTCTCATTTATTGTAACTTAAATATTACTGAATAAAAAGGTGTATTTATAAATTGGCCTTTGGATTATATACAAATATATATATTATATGCTCATTTTTAAAATGTAATTGAGTAAGCTATCATTGAAAATTGTGTTAAATTGATTCAATTATGAATTCATTTTAAATTACCAACATCCAAGTGTTATTTGTCTTGAAAATATAACATGGGAAATATTAAAGTCGTGACTATAATCATTGCTTCCAGACACCTACCTGCTGACATGAACTGTGCATCATACCTTCATAGATTTTGAAGGTTACATTGGATGGATTTATCAGTGTTTTTAGTTTTTCAACCGTAAGAGAACCAAACATTAGGGGAACTAAAGGATCACAATCTCCATGGCACTGGAGAACAGAAATATCTCTATTAGTGCTATTGATAGGACCCTGTAAAACAAATATAAAAGGAATGTTATTCATCAAATATGTAAAACACCATGCCAGACTCCTAAAAACTATAGATATACATGCATATGCTATTATTTATAATTCAGTCACATATTTTGGTCAAGTAAACTCTCTATCCTTATGTTCCCCCAACATCTTTAATTTAAACTTCTATGGGATACATGATTATTTTGCCACATATTGTAATACATGTTTCCAATGAATCAGTTTCTTTAAGCCAATTACATTTTAATTCATCTTTCATTTTCAGTATGTTGATATGAGAGGTAATCAATAACTATTAGGGCACATTAGGTAAGTCATGTTCTCCTCAACTTTATGACCAAATTAAATAAGAGAGTTAGCAATCTATTATGTATAGTACACTGAAAAGTTACTACATGACTAAAAGACTGAACTCTATCTAGAATAGAAAATGAATTTGGAGTGTGGCAAATTGGTATACCTGCAACCCCAGCACTTGGGAGGCTGGGGTAAGAGGATCACGGATTTAAGGTCAGCCTCATCAATATACCAGCTCAAGAGAAAACATCATAGTAACTTGAACACAGCAGTAACGGACTTGACTAGCATGTTCAAGGTCTGAGATTAATCTGCGGCACCAAAACCAAGAAGTAAAATAAAGAATCTAAAAATAATCTCCACATCTCTGATGGTACATAGCATATTACACCACTGTTAAAATAATTTACAATTTTATAGTAAAATTCTGCAAATGACTAAACATTTAAAATTTGAGTTAAAATGTGTATGTGAATATGTATCTTAAAATGTACCAAATAATTAAATGTAAGACAGGACAGTAAGCTGCTTCTTCTATCTATATAAACCACAAGAAGAATATACAGATCAAGTGTAGTAATACACCACAAATGTCTAAAGAAATACTTTAAAAATAAGATAACTGGTGTAAGCCATTAACTTTGGGTAGTAGAGATGTTTCAGTGTATGTTCACCAACTGAAGCAAAGGTACCACTGTAGTGTGGGATATCTACCATAGGGGAGGCTGTGTGTGCAGCAGAAAGGAGGAATAAGAGAACTCTTTATTTCCCACTCAAAATTTCTATCAACCTAAATTTTCTAAAAAAGATAAAAAGTTCATTAATTAGAAGAAAAGACGACTTGCTTCTAAATATTTTCTGCTATGTCCTAGCTCTGTAATCTTGTTTATTCGAACCATGCAAGCTACCTGTGGAAACGAACCCCGAAGTGGAAGCCAGCAACTGAGCGCAGTGACACCGGCCAGTTTCTGCTGCGTGGTAAGAGCAGTGTATAAAGATAAAGCGCCTCCCTGGAACAGAAGCAGGGAGTTAACTGGAGCACAGTTCTGCCAAAAGCTTGTGAGAGAATTCCTATTAGTAATGTCCATAAGAAAATATACTCTGTTAAATCAAACCAGGTAAGCTGGGTGTGGGGTGCACTTGGGAAACAAGAGGCAGGTGGATCTCTGTGAGTTTGAGGCCAGCCTGGTTTCCAGTTTCAGGATAGCCAGGGCTACACAGAGAAACCTTGTCTTGAAAAACCAAAGGGGAAAAAATCAAATCAGGTAAAGAATGAAACTATATACTCATAGTGGATAGATTTCTACCTTCAAGAAAACACACCAATATAAGATCTCCACTTAGAGCATAGCATGGCTTAAGAACAGTCTGAATTTACAGTTCTCTCATTTTCCTATCTGAAAAGTCTTAGATATAAACTCCAAATGAGATTTAGGCTATTTTTCCAAAACAGAAATTTAAGGTAATACAGATGGAATACCAGATACCTTTAGAGATTTGCCCACCTAGCTCACAACATGCCATGTGTTGGAAACTATAATTCTGTCAGCCATCTAGATGCCACACCCTGACCAGGCCTGTACCACATGGGGACATGAGAGACTTACTTTTTTTTTTTTGGTTTTTCAAAATAGGGTTTCTCTGTGCAGTTTTGGAGCCTGACCTGGATCTCACTCTGTAGACCAGGCTGGCCTCAAACTCACAGAGATCCGCCTGCCTCTGCCTCCCAAGTGCTGAGATTAAAGGTGTACGCCATGACTGCCCGGCCTGAGAGACTTTCTGATCCCAGGCAGTGATGCTCTTTCCCTCAGGACTGTGGGGTTGGAATTCAGTTACTGTCAAGGCCATATCCATATGGTTAGAAACGCAACACGTAAACCAAAGAGCTGTAAAAGCTAACATGGCTAATGGTCGGTGGAAAGGCAAATAAACAGATAAGCAGGGAAAGAAACGATGATGGAGAGAAAGTCCCGATGGCTTGCCTAGTACTAACTGTTTTCTAGGGTGTAGTTTTATTTTCAGTTTCCTCGATATAATGATGCTACACACTTACAAGTGTCTTCTTGCTTAAAAGGATCTGGAATAGGTTTCCTCAGGTGTATGGTGTTAGTGTGGAGATCAGAGGTTGAAGTCAGGTATCTCCCACAATCGTTTTCCACCTTATTTTTTGAGGCATGATCTCTGACTTCTGAATAAACCTGGACTTACTCAAGGCTGGGGGGCCAGGTAGCTCAGGGAATCTGTGTGTTGCCACTTCCCTAGCACCAGGGTTATGGATGTTTGCCATCACACTCAGCTTTTTACATAGGGTCCCGGGATCCAATCTCAGCACCTTATGGCTCTGTGTAAGTGCCCCACTGCCCCAGCCCTAGGAGTTAGTCTCTGTAGGCTGTGATCAGTACCAAATGACAACAGCTGTGTGCACACTAGACTTCAATCTTTGGCCCTTATGCTTGTGTGGGTGTTCGTGTTTTGTATTATCTGGACAAAGGCCATATATCAATAACAGCTTTTTATTTAAAGTTACTTTGTTCTTTTGTTTTTCCAGTTTCTCTGTGTAGCCCCGGCTGTCCTGGAACTTGTTCTATAGACTAGGCTGGCCGTGAACTCAGACTTGTTCTGTAGACTAGGCTGGCCATGAACTCAGAGATCATGCCTCCCAAGTGCTGAGATTAAAGGCGTGCATTGCTGTTTTGTCTGTCTGTCTGTCTGTCTGTGGGAGGGTGTCAGATCCCCTGGAGCTAGAGTTGCAGACAGGTGTGAGCTGCCATTGAACCTGGGTCCTCTGGAAGACTAAGTGCTCTTAACCATTGTGCAGGTCCCATCAATATTACCTTTTTAATGTATTGTATTAACCACATTACCGTATATACAACATTCCATTGAGTGTATTGTCTCAACTGATTCCAGAATTCTGACATTTCTCATAGTTATTGACTGAGGAGATTAGAAGCTAGAGCATTCTGGGAACAGGTTACTTAGAAACTGGTGAGTAAAAATGTAAGTTCAAAGTAGGGATATAACTTAGTGATAAAGAGCTTCTTGTTCAGCTTGTGCTAGGACCTAGGGCAGTCACTAGCACTACAAAACAAACCAAGAAGGATGTAAGGTCAACACACATTATCAGGCTGAAGAAAGTAACCCAAGTAATACCGTACTTATATCTTAGAAACCTAGGCACTTACACCTGTCCCCTTACAGTCCTGTTTCACTAAAAAAAGCCTAACTAGCACATTGCGGTTACTTTAAGAGACTATATTCTACCGGGCCAGTGGTGGTGCATGCCTTTGATTCCAGCCTTCAGGAGGCAGAGGCAGATGGATCTTTATGAGTTAGAGGCCAGCCTGGCCTACAAAGCAAGTTCCAGGACAACCATGCCTATGTAGAGAAACCTGTTTCGAAAAACAAAACAAAACAAAAAAAAGTCTAGGTTCCAAGCAATCTCTCTCTCTTTCCTCTCTCTCTCTCTCTCTCTTTCCTCTCTCCTCTCCTCCCCTCCCCTC